TAACGGACCTGCTATGTTTTGTTGATCATGTACATGCGTTTTTATACAATAAGTTATGTGATGTAAATTCAATATATCACTGTGGACAAGTTGTCTATCTGGCTGTCACAGATGAAATTTAGTCTTTCCTGGTGCATCATTTTCACTCGGTTTTCCTTTTTTCAGTTTTATAAGAGTGAATTTATATGTCGTCATAGTTTTTTTTGGGTGGGGGGGATAAATGAAGTCCCCCTCCCTCCCACACACACACAAAAATATGTTTCTATCGTTTTCAAAAAAACATTTTTTAATTAAAATTCTTGAAATCGTTTTTTTTCTTAAAACGAGAAAAAATAGCTGCCAGTGGGGCAAGAAAACTAATCCTGTTTTCCCACTATATTAAGATTGTTTATTACCCCACCGACAGACACTTTTTCTGATATTCAGCATAAAACTAACAAACTTAGTTTTTTTTTTATTATAAAACAGTCATTTTTCCCCAAGTAAACGTATCTTGATTCAAGTATGTTTAGATATTTGTAGTAGAAAACAAGATAAAAATACTAAGTAATATTTTTTTACAATGAATGCCTTAGCATTTTACTATAGCGTTTTAGTGCTGCTAGAACCGATATGACCATGCAGAATGAAGTGCTCCTCCAGATTTAGATCTAGCTGTATTGTATTTATAGTGTTGTCTGACACATATATGAGTGCAGTTGTGAATGTCTGAGCATTTTAAGGCAATTAATAGATTAAGATTTCAGTAGCTATTGTTCAAAGTGAGAGTAAGTGATTCTCAAATATGTGTCTTATGCATTGCTAAGATCTTCATTTAAAGATGATTATCTCAATATTTAGATTTTTTTGCTCCTTCAGATTCCAGATTTTCAAATAGTTGTATCTCGCCCAAATATTGTCCGATCCTAACAAACCATACATACATGTATAAATCTCAATTTTGAAAAATTGACCCTTATGACTGGTTTTGTGGTCCAGGGTCACATATGTGGTTGGATGTTGCAGGTGAAAACTCAGAAACGACATACTAAACTACCAAATTTTGCTATAAGTTTAATCGCAGCATATAATCATTGCAGTTAATAGTGTTCACCATCTGTTTGATTACGTCATTAACTAACTGCATGAGTTTTACTGTACATTTCTGCCATATGGACATCAACTTGGCTGTCACCACTGATATACACTGATGAACTATAATGTAGAAACTTGAAAATAGAAACTACAATTTTCTGTAAAGCTGCTTTGCAACAATTTGTATCGTGAAAAGTGCTACACAAATAAAAACTTGAATTGAATTGCATTGAAAAGCTTGGGAAAACACCGGGAGAAAGTTATGAGATTTAGACCTGGTTTCGTTTTGTTGTAAGTGAGCGTAAACCAGTATAATAGCATCAGTTTAAACCCTTTTGTTTTGCTGATCTAAACTGTAGTCTGATGTAAAAGCACTTAAATTCCATTGTTGCTTTTTACTGCAAAGTCAATCAGAAACTCTGTAGTCCAGGACATCAGATAAATGTTTTAAAAGATGGAACACTTAGATTTTTTTCATGGTGTATTTGCTAAAGAATGGCTCTCTGTGTCACAGGGACAGCGGTGATGATATCGAGCTGGCGTCATGCGCTCACAGCCAAACGCACAAAGACTTCTGGCTGGTGTCCTCCTGCAGCTGCGAGCTGCTGTGTGACGGTACGTCATCGAGATCAGCCTAAACCTGTAATAGAGCTCAGTAATATCCAGCCTGACAGAAGCTGCAGCGTGCTGATGAATTCTGTCTGTACTAGGGCTGTCAAAACGGCTAAAAAACTACATTCGAATTTTGTACTTAAAATGTTATCAATATTCAAATGTAAAAGGCATAATTTCAGCTTTTGGCTTCTCTCCTGAGGCCACAAGAGGGCGCATCGGGTAAAATATTGCTAATGCACGTTTCTTCAAAGCAATAAAATAACATGACTATCTTTGAAAAAAAGTGCATAATGTTTATAAACCATATATAATTAATTAATTTGCTTAAACAATTAGAAACAAAACTGCATCATGCATGTATGTATAGTTTAATACAAAGGACCGAAACCCAATCACAAAGAGTGCTTTCTTTATTTAAAAGCATGAGATGCAGTGGGATGGGGAAAACCGCCATAAAAATGCGTTTTTTAAAAGTTGAACTTGCATTAATTTTACATGGCTTTCTACTTTGTGCGAGACACGAGTGCAACGCTGATAGATGTCCCTCTAGAAAATGCGATATGCGTTCTTTGTGAACGGTTTGGTTTCAGTTTTGACGTAAACAACAACATCTCTGCATTGAACGCGTTCTCTTTTACTGAAATATTTTGAATGAACAATGTAGCAGCGCCGCATCTAGTGGCTTCAGCTGGATTAGCTATGAAAAGCATTAAAATGCAACGACACCTACATCGTCATCACATCTCGTGTCCACTGATACGGCTGCTTGACGCACACCTCAAATAATACGACGAATTTGATTTTTTTTTGACAGCCCTAGTCTGTACATATGATGTGTTTCTCGTAAGCTGGAGCTACAGGAAGAGTTGGGTTTATGTTGTGGATGTGTTGCTCAGGTTCACATCGGGGGTCCGAGCGAATGTGCTCCGTTGCTGCTGATCAGTCGACGGCTGGCCTCTGTCAGGAGCCGCTGGTTACCCAGCACCCCTCACATGTCCCGTTAGAGCGGTTCCTGCAGTCGCCAGAGGCCCTGAACACTAACACACCGTCAGGTACACACGCCTTTACCACCACAGCCACACTTGACTCGGGACAATCAGGTCACTCTGACTTAAAGGGGTCATGAACTGCCTCGGTTTTTTTATTCTGTACTGCTCTCTGAGGTCCACTTATAATGTCATCAAGATTTTTACATCAAAAAACATAATAATTTCTGTCCTGTTTCAACCCCTCTCATCAGAATGCTCTGTTTGAATAGATGTGGAGGATTGTAGACTCAGAAGTAAACGCCCACTGCTGTGATTGGCTAACAGTTGTGTATGATTGACAGATGTTGTTTTATTAAAAATTTCTGGTCACCATTATGGTGATTAGTGCAGTTAATTAGTTGGGCAAAACCGAAAGTGGTTGTTCATTAAGTTATTTTCACCTACAGAGCCTTCATGCCACAGGTCAGATATTTTAAACTTGAAATTTTAAACATCGTGGGGAGAAAAAAAGTAAAAATTAGGCATACCCACAGACAAAAAGAACCAGCGTACCACTTACGGTTAGTGATGGGACTAGACTTCTTGATGGTGTAAACCATGTCACCTGATCACTGTTGTTTGTGGTTTCCTTTATAACAAATTATGTTTTTATAAAGACCACAAACTTAACATAAGAGCCAAGAGTCAAACTGCCCAACTAAATGATAAATCACCATAACCATAACTAAACACTAATCACCAAACATTTTTAATAAAACAACAGCTAAACCGGTTAATTCTCAGAACTGTAGACTAATGAGAGAAATAAAGCAACATGAAAATAACAGTCTGATTGCTTTTAGTTTTGGATTGCAAATAAGAGAGACCGAGAAGCATTATACCTCAGTTACTGATTTCTTAAGTTATGATATTTCCTGTGAATTCTGTTCTAAAATTACAGTATCATCATGTTATGAATAAGAAGTGCACACGATAAAACACTAATGTACATTAACAGAGAGGTCACTGTATGATGAAGGTAGATTTATGTTTTTTATGTCCGGTTGAGGTAAGTTGTCACAATTGTATCTAGGCAAATTGTCCTGTCTTTTTTTATATGCTGTAACACATTTTTTTTATGATTTCAGTTGTAGTTTTTGTGTGTTACCTTTTACATCTTGGTGGTTTCAGAATTATTTTAATATCCAGATGTATTCATAATAATATACATTTTCTGATATGAAATTTATGAATGAATCCATTTTATTTCAGACAAACATGGAAGTTAAATTGGCAGGAGTAGCTTTGCAATGCATTAAAAGTAGTAATTGTCATAAGGCCGTTTTATTGATTAGAATGAAAATGATCTTCAATAATAGTCTAGACACTCACTCCCACACTCACTCACTCACTCACACACACACACACACTCACACACATACACTCACATGCTCGCTCGCTCACTCACTAACTCACACACACACGCACGCTCACTCACTCACTCTCACTCACATTCACTCACACTCACTCACTCACACACACACTCACACACACTCACACACACACACACTCACACACACACACACACACACTCACACACATACACTCACACGCTCGCTCGCTCACTCACTAACTCTCACTCACATTCACTCACACTCACTCACTCACACTCACACACACTCACATACACTCACACGCTCGCTCGCTCACTCACTAACTCTCACTCACATTCACTCACACTCACTCACTCACACTCACACACACTCACATACACTCTCACTCACTCACTCACTCACACACACTCACATACACACACACTCACATACACTCGCTCGCTCACTCACTCACTAACTCACACACGCACACTCTCTCACTCACTCACTCTCACTCACATTCACTCACACTCACTCACTCTCACACACACTCACATACACACACACTCACATACACTCGCTCGCTCACTCACTCACTAACTCACACACGCACACTCTCTCACTCACTCACTCTCACTCACATTCACTCACACTCACTCACTCTCACACACACTCACATACACACACACTCACATACACTCGCTCGCTCACTCACTCACTAACTCACACACGCACACTCACTCACTCACTCTCACTCACATTCACTCACACTCACTCACTCTCACACACACTCACATACACACACACTCACATACACTCTCACTCACAGAATCTGCTCTTTTCTAAAGCCTATGTTTTTTTTGTTTTTTTTTGTGGTACTTTTGTGATTTAGTATTGACCCTTTCTCCCTTGTGTAAAACACACACACACATTCTCTGTTTGACGTAATGTTCTCGCTGGCACACACGAGTGGCGCACGGAGTCACGGTCTGTTTGTGATCCGCCAGAGTGAGACGCGTCCTGGAGAATACGTCCTCACCTTCAACTTCCAGGGCAAAGCCAAGGTGAGCCGTGACATTCAGCGCTTGTGACCATAATGACATCTGAGAAGACATCCGTCATGCATCTGCTATTCAAGACTTTAACCAGCTTCCTGTACGACACAAAAATATTTGAGAATATACTGGAAAATATAATGCAATATATTAATACATTTCCATAAATGGAAAACTAGTGCTTATATTTTTCAAAATACTGCAAAATATGCATGAACCATGCATGACCATGTACTGATGTTTGTAAAAACGTGTGATGGTATATAATATTAAAACATTAACCCCCGTTTCACAGACAAGGCTTAAGCCTAGTCCCAGACTAAAATGCATGACTTAAGCTGTTTAAACTGAAAGAAACATGGACTGACTTTAATTTTAAATCATGTCAGTGCTTTTGTTTTGTCTCAAAATGCACACCAGTACTGTTATTTTCTAAGACACTTTTATAAGTGTGTATATATATATACAGTGGGGCAAAAAAGTATTTAGTCAGCCACCAATTGTGCAAGTTCTCCCACTTAAAAAGATGAGAGAGGCCTGTAATTTTCATCATAGGTATACCTCAACTATGAGAGACAAAAGTATGTGTAGATCAAATTTGTTCAAATATATCTATGATTTTTAATAATATCACCAAATGACAAACCCCTCAAATGAACGCATTAATAATCAATTTAGTTGCACTTATATATGGACCTGTGGTGTTGTGTGTTCGGCAGCACCTGCGGTTGTCTGTGAATGACAGCGGTCAGTGTCACGTTCATCACCTGTGGTTCCAGACGGTGGCTGATATGTTACAGCACTTCCACGCTCACCCCATCCCTCTGGAGTCCGGCGGCTCCACAGACATCACGCTACGCTCATACGTACAAGTCCAGCGCTCGCCCACAGGTACACAGCACACACACACCTGACACGACCTCACTCTTTACCGTCTGTGACTCGCTAGTTACGTGTAACAGAATTACGTCATTTAATCACAATAAACGCAATTGTAATCAGTTGCAGTTACTTCTGAAAATGTTAACGATTACAATGGGGGTTACATCTGAATATTTTTCACACACACATACACAGATTTAATTGACTTCTTTCATAAATTGCATTGACTGCTCTAAAATATGAGACACCAATGATTCAGGAGTTTAGGACACAGAATAGGACACATGCTTATTTGATAACTGTTTTATTTCCTGTTTGGGTTTATGTGTATGCTTTATTTAAGATTAACTGTTTTTTCCAAAGCATTGTTAGATGCCAGTGTTTCTGTCATAGCTATGCAGATATGTGTCCCTGCAGCACAAAAGCAGTGTTAAGTCGCTGGGGGATATTTGTAGCAATAGCCAACAATACATTGTATGAGTCACAATTATACATTTCTCTTTTATGCCAAAAATCATTAGGATATTAAGTAAAGATCATGTTTCATGAAGATATTTTGTAAATTTCCTACCGTAAATATATCAAAACTTAATGTTTGATTAGTAATATGCATTGCTAAGAACTTCATTTGGACAACTTTAAAGATGATTTTCTCAATATTTAGATTTTTTTGCACCCTCAGATTCCAGATTTTCAAATATTGTCCTATCCTAACAAACCATACATCAATGGAAAGATTATTTATTTATTTAGCTTTCAGATGATGTATAAAGCTTGACCCTTGACCCTACCCAAAATTTGGTAGTTTTAGTATGTTGTTTCAGAGTTTTCACCTGCAACATCCAACCACATATGTGACCCTGGAGCACAAAACCAGTCACAAGGGTCAATTTTTCAAAATTGAGATTTTTGGCATAAAAGAGAAATGTATAATGTTGACCCATACAATGTATTGTTGGCTATTGCTACAAATATCCCCCAGCGACTTAACACTGCTTTTGTGCTCCAGGGACACAAATAAGGTCATAAGAAAGATATTTTTTAAATACTTTAAAGTAACTACAAATGAGCGTGTAAAGTGAATATCTTTAAAAGAGTTTCCGTGTGGAGCATGCCCCGATCCTCGCAGTGTTCTCACCTGTGTGCATCTCTGCCTGTCGGTCTGGGTGTGTCTGCTCAGATGTGGCTCCTCAGACGCCAGCTGCCCCGCGGGACTCCTCCGTCTGTGGGGCCGAACCCCAGCTCTCCAGCGCAGCTCCTCCGTCAGACACAGTGCTGTCCTCCAGCTCGTCCTCGTCTCCGATGGCTCAGCCGAGCGCCGGCCTCCACAGCCGCAGCAGCAGCGCAGAGAGACTGCTGGAGCCCGGGGCCGCCGGGGCCGACGACTACCACGAGAGCGACGGCACGCGGCAGACTCGAGCCGTGGAGAACCAGTACTCCTTCTACTGACGCTGCTGCTGCTGCGCTTCATGAGAGACGAGAGCTTTCACTGTTACAGCACACTCCAAACTGATCAGGTGTCTGAGTGTTTCCCTTTGTGTTGTTTCTGATTTAATGCGTGCGATTTACTCATGTTTAGTACTGATAAATATCTCTCCTGCTGACCAAAGCTGCATTTATGTGATCAAAAATACAGTAAGAATTGTAAAATATTATTAGAATTTAGAATAACTGTTGTCTATGTGAACATATGTTAAACTGTAATGTATTTCTGTGATGAGCAGCTGTATTTTCAGCATCATTCCTCCAGTCTTCAGTGTCACATGATCTTCAGAAATCAGTATAATATGCTGATCTGCTGCTCCAGAAACATTTCTGATTATTATCAATGTTGAAAACAGTCGTGCTGCACAATATTTTTGTGGAAACTGTGATGCATTTTATTTTTCAGGATTCACAGATGAATAGAAAGTTCAAAAGAACAGCATTTATTTAAAATAGAAATCTTTTGTAATGTTATAAATGTCTATACTATCACTTATGATCAATTTAATGCGTCCTTAATTTACGTTAGTATAAATAAAAAAAACTATTTTTTTAAGCTTTCCCCAATCTTTTGAATGGTAGTACATCACAGTTGTATATTAAGCTGCAAAAACAGTTTTCAACATTTCAGCTTATTATACTGATTTCTGAAGATCATGTGACACTGAAGACTGGAGGAATGATGCTGAAAATACAGCTGCGCATCACAGAAATACATTACAGTTTACAATAGATTCACTTAAATTGTAATATTTCACAAATGTACTGATTTTACTGTATTTTTGGATCAAAATGAATTCAGCTTTGCTGAGCCTTCTTTCAGAAAACATAAAAAATATGAATCATTCCAAACTTTTGACCGGTAGTGTATATTTGATCTTCCTTTATATGCCATCACATTATGAAAATGCACGAAAAATCAAACTTTATGCTCATCATGTTTTAATTATGTTTACCTGTTCGGCCACGCATTATTCTAATATTAGTCATATCCTCCTGACTACCAGGAAAAAACAGTTTTGAGAATTTAGTATTTTGTCATGTCATTACATTGTTTAGAGCATAAGAAAAAATGTGAAAAATTACATTTTTGAAAAATTATATTTTATTCATGTTAGGCCGTGTCCTCTGTAGAAGACATCGGGACTTTAAAAAGTGCTGTTTTCTTAAGAAATAAAAAGACATGAATAGACATGAAAAGGCAAAAACAGTAGGATTTTTGTTTTTAATCACAAATCAATTTTCGTTTTTTTATACCAAACTTTATATAAAGACAATTCTCAACTGTTATAAAAAAAGATATTTTTAAAAACCATTTTTCTTTATGCAAAATGTGTAAAATGGCCATAAACGAGTTTTTTCATTATATATATCTATAAACTATCTAATTTGCATATTAATGTGTTTTTGTGGCAACGTAGAATGAACAAATAAGTGCAATAATGGGAGTAATAATTAGCAAGAGTTTCATAATATTGATACATAATTTTTTCTCTATTAATTTGTTGTCTCCCAAAATGTGTAATAAACATGCTTTAAGTCTGGTGTCCTCTACAGTGGACAGGTATGAAATCAACCTCCTGTTTCATAACAGAAGCTCATATTTTGATTTGAAACCCCATAACATTTTCCTGAGATGTTGATTTATGACAAACAATTTGAAAATTTGTCAGATTTAAATGATAATTACAAAATATTGTCATATTTCCATAAGGGTGTTACACTTGATCACTAAATGAATGTCAGCCGTTTTTAAAGAGCAAGGAGAGGGAGAGGTCACGGTGAAGCATCCAATCATCTGGTATCTCTGGAAAGCCCTGAATGTGCTCCGTACAGGAC